TCCATAGTTACCACTTCTGTCACTCTTTGGCTAAGAAGCACATCTATGCAATGTATGATAGGATTCTTCCCTAACTAGACTTGTCTCCCCTCCCAGAGACTGTCTACAGAAGGATGGAAATCCTGATGTATTATTTGTAACCATGGCTTCACCAAATTAATAGAATAGTTCACCCTCTTAATGTGTGGATTGTTTTTTAAAAAGGTGTGATAGTGAATGTGAAGCAAACAGATATTCTGAACACTAAGATTTAAAACTCAATATCTAGACAGATGTATTTCTTCAAAAGCAAGAGGGTTAGTTATACTTTTTTTAAAGAATCAAACACAATTCCTGTCTGTTATATGTAATCACCGAGTATGTTGGTTGGCTGCACATTCACTCTTACTGAAATGAATTGTACTGTTTGTTGTGTGTGGGATAATTTGGCTCATTTCTTACTTCTTTATGTCTAAATTCATAACCACTTTTTAGATCAAGTGAGTTTTGTGCACAAGAAATTACTTTCCGTTGCCACATGGCCACATCCTATTTGCAAACTGAAATCGAAGACAATGACTTCAACTGCTGCCTGCAAATTTGGCACTGGTTCAGTTAACAGATTGCTGAAAAGTACAGCTGCAAATGTGCTGAGAAACTGTCTTTACAGTGGCGTTCAGATCTCATTTAACATTGTAGAACATTAGATTCAAATATAAAATGCCCCAGTCTCAAAAGTAATTTATTAAGTGCATCTTTCCCTCAGATTTTACAAGAACTCTTTAAAAGCCTCATCTGAGAAAACACTCTTCCAATGTAAGCCCAGACATTGAGTGCCAACAGATGATTTGATTCTGGGGGCGCATCACAGCTGGAATAGATTATTAACAACAACAACTTGAATTTTTGGTGCGCCTAAAGTAGCTAACTTGCAGACAGTGAGCTCCTACCATCAGCGATGCAATTTGTTTTAATTCATTGACAGGCTACAAATGTTGTTGTCAAGGCCAGTGGTCATGGCCCATTCCGATATAACTGAGGCTCTAATCATGGAAAACCGTTCAAAAACTTGGATAAAAATCCTGGAACCCAATTTGTCTCAGTCACTGATTAACAATTGTTTTCTGACTAGTTACAACATCTTGGTCAATAGATATCTCTGATGAAATGTTCTAATGGAAGGTTTGAGTTATAAAGAAAGGCTGGGTAGGCTGGGACTTTTTTCATTGAAGTGTAGGAAGGTTGAGAGGTGACCTTATAGAAGCATATAAAATCATGAGGGGCATAGATAGGGTTAATGGTTGGTGTCCTTTTCCAAGGATGGGGGTTTCAAGACTATGGGACACATTTTTAAGGTGAGAAGACAGAGATTTTAAAAAGACATGAGGTGCAAATTTTTTACATGGAGGGTGGTTCGCATATTGAATGAACTTCCTGAAGAAGTGGTGGATGTGGGCACAATTACAGCATTTAGAAAACATTTGTATAAGTACATGAACAGGAAAGGTTTGGAGGGATATGGACCAGAGCAGGCAGGTGAAACTAGTTTAGTTTGGGATTAAGTTCGGCATGGACTGTTTGGACTGAAGGGTCTGCTTCCGTGCTATATGACTCTATGACTCTGTTATATAAAAGGGGACATGGCATCATAATGTTACGTTTCTAACCAATAACAAAAAGTACAGGGGGAGGCAATTGCCTTGTGGTATTATCGCTGGACTCTTAATCCAGAGACCCAGATAATGTTCTGGGAACCCAGGTTTGAATCCCACCTCAGCAGATGGTGGAATTTGAAATCAATAATTGAAGCTATTGTCAATTGTCAGGGAAAACCCATCTGGTTCACTAATGTCCTTTAGGGAAGGAAACTGCCATCCTTACCTGGTCTGGCGTACATGTGACTTCAGACCCACAGCAATGTGGTTGACTCTTAACTGCCCTCTGGGCAATTAGGGATGGACAATAAATGCTGCCTAGCCAGCAACAGCATCATCCTATGAATGAATTTAAAACAAAAGGAGGGCATGCCAAGACCAGCAGAAACTATAGCTAAAAATGAGATGTCAACCTTTGGAGGCCACAACACAGAACTATCTGTATGCCAAACAGCATAAGCAGCAAGTGACAGATAGAGCTAAGCAACCCCACAACCAACAGATCAATTCAAAGCTTTGCAGTCCGACTACATCCAGTCACGAATGGTGGTAGACAATTAAGCAATTAACAGGAAATGCAAGCTCCAGCATGATCTCCATCCTCAATGATGAGGGAGCCTAGCGTGCAACTGCAAATGATGAAGTGAAGTTTTAACATCCTTCTTCAGCCATAAGTGTCAAGTGGATGATCCATCTCAGCCTCCTCCTGGAGTCCTCGGCATCACAGATGCCAGTCTTCAATCAATTTCATTCACAAAGTATCAAGAAATGGCTGAAGGCACTGGATACTGGATAGACAGCTTGCTTAAAAAGCCAGTTAGCACGCTTGCCCTCATTGCTCAGTTCATTGAGTATAGGAGTTGGAAAGTCATGTTGAGGTTGTACGGGAAATTGGTGAGGATTCTTCTGGAATATTGTGTCCAGTTCTGCTCGCCCAGTTATAGAAAGGATATTATTGAGCTGGAGAGGGTTCAGAAGAAATTTATCAGGATTTTGCCAGGTATGGAAGGTTTGAAGACAAAGTGGTGGATGTGGGTACAATTACAATATTTAAAAGGCATTTAGATAGATACATGAATAGGAAAGGTTTGGAGGGATATGGGCCAGGAGCAGGCAGGTGCGACTAGTTTAGTTTGGGATTATGTCCGGCATGGACTGGTTGGACCGAAGCATCTGTTTCCATGCTGTACGACTCTATGACTCTACGACACTGACAACAATCCAGCAATGGTACTGAAAACTATTGTTCGAGAACTCGCTGCACTTCTAACCAAGCAGTCACAACATTGCCACCTGCCCAACCATGTGGAATGCGTATATCCGGTCCACACCCTGGGTAATTACTGGCCTAACAGTGTACTCTTGATCATAAGCAAAGTAATAGAAGGAGGTACTGACTGTACAATCAAACAGCACTTGCAAATGATTAATCAGCTCACTAACTCTCAGATCGAGTTGAACCCAAGGGGTGAGATGAGAGTGATTGCCCTTGACATCAAGGCAACATTGGATCAAGTGTGGCATCAAGGAGCCCTGACCAAACCAAACTGGAGTCAATGAGAATCAGGGGAAAAGCTTTCCAATGGTTGAAGTCAGACCTATCACAAAGGAAAATGGTTGTGTTGTTGGAAGGCAATCATTTCAGACTTAGGACATCAGGGGAGTGACCTAGACTCAAGTATCTTTAACTGTTTCATCAATGATCTCTCCTCCATCAGAAGTGGGGATGTTCTCTAATGATTGCACAATGTTCAGCACCATACACAACTCTGCAGATACTGAAGCAATCTGTGTCCATATGCAGCCAGAGCTGGGCATCAGGGCTTGGGCTGAGAAGTGGCAAGTCATGCTACAAGTGCTAGGCAATGCCCATCAAAAAGAAAGAATCTAACCATCACCCTTTGATCAGTAGTATTACCATCACTGAATTCCCCCCATATCAACATCCCGGAATTTAACACTGACCAGAAATTGAACTGGACCAATCATATACGCACTATGTCTACAAGAGCAGACAGAGGCTAGACATTCTGTCCACCATCTACAAGGCACAAGTCAAGGGTTGGTCTGATGGAATACTGCCCACTTTCCTTCTCTAATGGCATTGTGGGTCTACCTACATTACATGGACTGAATCAGTTCAAGAAAGCAGCTCACCACTACCTTCTCAAGGGCAAGTAGGGGTGGACAATAAATGCTGGCCAGCCAGCGATGCCCACATCCCATGAAAGAATAAAAACTATTGCCTAGATGTGCAGCTCTGACAAAACTCAAGATGCTTGACACCATCTAAAACGAAGCAACCATCTTCCAAATTTCTCCGAGCAGCATTGAACACCAGAGGCATCAGTGTACGCAATCTAAAAGGTGCCCTGTAGCAACTCATCAAGACTCCTTCAAAAACATTTCCAAAACCTTGAAAAACCTTTAACCCCACCATCTACAGGGACCAGGCCAACAGTTACATGGGAGCACACTAACTGCAAGTTTCCCTGCAAGACACATGCCACACTGACTGGGAACTACATTGTCATTTCCTTACTCTTGATGGGTTAAATTCTTGGAACTCCATTCTTAACAGCATGTGGGTGTAGCTTCTTGCTATTGACTGCACTTGTTTAAGAAGGTAGTTCAGCAACACCTTGTCAAAGGCAATTAGGGATATGTAATGAATGCTAGCCTTGCCAGCAACATCTATGTCCCATGAACAAATTAGAAACTTGAAGTTTCAGGAATCAGGCTTTATGTAGCACACACACAACACACGATTATGATGTTGACTTCAGAATCAGGCTTTAAAGTGGCATATTCTTATATTCATAGAATCCCTACAATGCAGAAGTGGGCCATTCGGCCCATCAGATCCACACCGATCCTCTGAAGAGCATCCCACCCAGACCCACCGTCCTACCGTATCCCTGTAACCCTGCATTTCTCATGGCCAATCCACCTAGACTGCACATCTTTGGACTGTGGGAGGAAACCAGAGAAAACCCACACAGACAAAAGGGAGAATGTGCAAACTCCACACAGACAGTTGCCCAAGGCTGGAATCAAACCCAGGTCTCTGGCGCTGTGAGGCAGCAGTGCTAACCACTGAGCCATCACATTCTTCATTGTAAAGCATCTGGCTTTTGCCTGCTTGCCATGTGTTTAAGCAAAATGTTGCAACTTGTGTCAAAAACATGAAAATGAAATTGCTGTTTAAATGTTGTTTGCTTTATGCCCACCATTGTGATATTGTTTCTCATCATCATCATCCCATTATGGTAAAGAGATACTGGATTTGCTTGACAGATGTGATAAATTGTTCATTTTAACACTCCAAACAATGAGGTTGCTTAGTTAATACATCTTTGGGCTTACCTTGTTCACACAAAGCACCACCATAGCTTGGTAAGCAGATACAACTGAAACAGTTGGCACCGTCAATACATGTGGCTCCATTACGGCAAGGATTGGATTGACATTCATCTATATCTGTGTGAGATATAAGTGATTAGTGGTTAATTAAACCAAGAATTGCTTTCACTATTGCTGTGTCTTCTTGTGTGCACCAGAACTAAAGCAGCCAGTAATTAAAACAGACCATTTGAATTGGCCATGCATCTTCAAAGAGCAAACCAGGAAGTGGCTTCCCTGAAAGTTCAGACCAATTTCCTAAAAACTAAAAGCATCCCTAATTAATCAGGACGGCATTACCACTCAAAACTTTACTGGGTCTTCCTGTGTCTTCATCTAAACAAACAGTGGCATTTAAAATGTTTCAAAAACACTGCTACAAATTAAACGATAAAACGACTGAGCATTCAGACTTATTTGGGGTAAATCTGACACTCAAAGCAGATACAATAAATAATTAAGTCCAAACTACCTGAAACAATCCTTCCAGGCAACCAAGGTTTCAGCTGGATACCTTGCAGATAACAGGATCATAAATGGTCCTTTAAAGATCCAGTATTAAATGGATGTCTTAGGCATATAATGACTACCACATGTAGAATGAGGCAGCATGGTGGATAAGGGGCACATGTACAGTGGATGGAGGTAAGGGCGTGAGGGCCTGACATTGTTCATTAAATCTGGGTCAATGTCCCAGTAAAAAGTGGTAAATATTCCACCTGCTGGCCTCACCACCTTCCTGCCTTCCTTGAATGAAAACGTGGTGGCAGAGCAGCCTTTAAGATGACAGATCTGCTGATTTGGGAATGCTCTTGAATTGACCTCCCCACCTACTCTATGAAAATCCAGCACATCGAGTCTTAGAATCACTATGGCACAGGAAGAAATCATTCAGGATCAATGGAGTCTAATCTTTCTCCCTCAGTCCATTCCCCTCTGAATCCCTTAGCCCCGGAGGTTCAGTACTTTCAAATGGCCATTCAATTTTCTTTGGAAATCATCCATCATTTCCACTTCCACCACTCTCACAGTCAGTGAGTTCCAAGTCATTACCACTCACTACAAAGCTCTTCCTAACTGCCCTCCCTTCATCTCTCACAAATAACCTTAAATCTGTATCACCAGTCCTTGTAACACCAACTAATGTCAAAAAACATCCAAAACATATCAATTTTTTACGCATACCAAATCTTTGATGTGGCAACATTGGATAGTCCAATGCTTAAATCAATGCATTGCCATACTATTCCCTTAGTGCATTGGTTCCTACAGACGTAGTAACACTAAATATGCTATTCTGAATTCTGCCAGAAGATGGCATTAGTACACCTCTGAATGAAATGAAAGCAGCCTGCTCCTTCTGTTGGCTCCAGACAAGCTCTTCAGCAAATCAGAAGAAGAACACCTAAAGGTTGCCAGTTCCTCTGCCTAACTATGAGTAATGCAATGATTGCAAGAAATTTAATATTAAATTCATTCTGGCAGACAAAAACCGTTTTGGGCTACAGTTTTGGGTTACTGCAGCAAGAGATTAGTTGCCCCTGGGTGAGTAAAGATGCAATATTCCCTGTGAACCTTCTTAAATCATCTTCTCCATGCCTGCAGACATCGGAAATGCTGGGTCATTCCTTACGTCTTGCCGCGTTATGGCAAAAAAGATGGAAAAGGTGAGGTCTGGCATCACTGTGTCATTGATGTGTTTTCTGAATATGTGGAAGGACTTATTCAACGAATGACATGACTTCAAGTGATGGCAGTTTGTGGAGAGCTTAGGGAACTTGGCCTAGCTGATACCTTACCATCATCCATCAGTGATTCAGCAGAATCTATGTGGAAACAGAGGATAAAATCTATCTTAAATACATGGAGTGCATTTGTGAAGATTATTACTGTGCCAGTGAAATAGGATTACTAGTTGGGAGACTGAATTCTAAATTTATGAACAAAAGATTTGAATGTGCCAGGAACAGATTGGTGTTTCTCTGATACAGTGTATTGAATCGTTTCCCACAGTCAAGGTTTGTAGCATCCGTTTTATGTCTGCATCGGACTCAGTAATACTAACAATGAGAGTGTACTTCAGGTTACATTAATACAGTGTGTATGAAATGCAGTTTTCTCTGTCATGATGGAAACAGGTTCAGATTGCTGCATTACTTGTGGATATTGCTTCTGATCAAAACATAAAACTCCCATAATCTTAGTATTCCAATAATGAATGCATATCGTTTCCAATAAAAATACTTGAAACCATTATATATCACTGAAACATTGCAGTTCTCCTGTTCTTACCTAGTTCACAATGATCCCCGGTGAATCCTGGCAAACAGGTGCAAATATAACTTGTTTCTCGTGGGTAACAACTGCCTCCATGTTGGCAAGGTTGTTTTTCACAGGGATTAACTTGTGCTATCAGAACTGAAAGCATGAAGAACATACAAGCATGGTTACTTCTTAACCCGTATATATTTCCTTTTTGCAGATAGAGCAAAGAAGAACCACAACATGAATAATCACTGCCATATGCCATTATTAAATCCAATGGTATATACTGGATAGAATTCAGTTCATTGAACTTTTTACAAGATAGTTTCTTAATTTCAAATGTTTCTAATTGGAATACCACTTCTGCAAATCAATCCCACATTTTACTTTCATTGAGGAGGACAACCAGGTTCTAAAATGTAAAAAGCCTTCAGCCAAAATGCTACAAGAGGGTTAACATCTTTGCAAAATGTTTTGCAAGACTGCCAAAACTTCAGAGATGTTGATAATCAAAAATCTTATTAAATGACTCTTTTTGTTTCGCATATTTGGTTCATTATTAATAGCAGATGTTTGTTGAAAATAGCTGAGAACTCAAGTAGAATGGCAAGTGCACTGCCACAGCACATGCAGAAACTCCACCTTTGGAGATGAGTGATTTTAAGGTCAGGTTGCCAAATGTTAATATTTTAATCTTGCTATGACATAAAATTTCTCTCCTTAGAAATCATTAGTCTGACATTTTGAGCATTAGTCAAAAAAAACACATTCTAGATAAACAAATGATTAAGTAAGAAAATGACTGAAAGAAAACAAAATCTGCGAAGAGGAGTATTGATTTATCTTAGAGATTTATGACGTATCTCTTTAATATAAAGAGTATAAATATTTCAAAGATATTAGATGAACATAACTAATCAAAGAAGATGACAACTGATTATTTGTCAAAACACACCAGTCTCTTGAACTAACAGCTTGCAAAAGCAGCATTGCTAGTTTCATGACCATGTGCTGAGGGCAATGGGACATCTGGGACTCCAGGGAACAGTATTATTATAAATCAAATAATTTCTTTAACTAATGAGTTTAAAAGATTAAGGGGAAAAGAAGCTGAGAAGGAGGAGAAATGAGAATCAAATCAGTTACAGTGAAAAAAAATGAAAAGAGGGAAAGATAAACCAAATCTGCCAGCCACAATTTTGGGCCAAAGGAGTTGATTAGCATTGGATTAGCGATTAAGATGAGTCATAAGGTGCGTGATATCTTAATTACTGGGTTTTAACATTCCACACTGAATTTATCGGGCCATTCATGTGCAAATGCAATAGATTCTTAGAACAAAAAGGCTGAGGAAAAGAGACAAGTTTGTGTGAAGCATTTGGCAGTGGTGTAAAACAAATAGCAAGATCTGGGGATGACACATTTCTTGGTACACTGAACCTGTTAACTGATCTGAAATTAGAAATAGCATGTACCAACAATACATTGTGTATTGGACAACAGGATCCAT